GGGGGGGGGGCACCAGCGTGGGTCCGAGGTCGGTGGAGTTATCAGCGTGTCACGACTTTAAAAACGTCTCACAGATCTAATAAAGTCAATGAATCCACTCTTTTGCTTTCTTTTTTTCTTTTTAGATGGACAAGTGGTGTTTGTGTATTTCAGATTAATCTGATTTTAGGCTTCAGGGCTGTCAGATTAGGCTTTGTTGTTGTTGTAGATGTTCAGATTTCACCGGTTTTCTACTCCCTCTTACGAAATCTGATACCCAAGCCTTGCCACCCTGTCTGTCTGGTGTATTTAAAGCTCTCTAAACCACAAGTCCGTGCTTTAATGAGTCATTTTGGAGCAGAAGATCATGGGGCGGTTGCAGTTTCCCCCCAAATCCACACAGCATGAAGGTTTTCCACTCAGAGGAGCGGGTGGAAAACCACTCCTTTAAAAGCGAATGGGTCCGTTTAAAAGGGTGAAGAAGGAGGGCGGATGGAAACCATCAGATGTAACAACAACAACACGAGGGGGGTTTCTTTCCAGAACATTGAGGTTTATTAAAAAGAAACAAATCAGAGTAATAAAAAAGTCACCGCGGAGGCCCTTTGTGGCCGGGCGTAATAAACTTCATCCTGAGGTTGTTCTGAGGAGGCTCCCAGGACACACACACACTCACACACACGTCCTACTGAATCTCCCCAATGTACAGACGCTTATCACTGGAGCCCGACATCACTGTGGAGGTGGAGCAGAAACATTGTTAATTATGGCTTTTAGTTCAGTTTGGACATCCTTTACCTATCAAACCCTTATCATTATTATTTTATATCATCATTGTATTTTATACTATATATGCTGTACTATTATTATCATCACATACCGTTTGGTTACAATAACATTACATCAGATCATCAGACTACTGCAGTTTATCTTTTGTCGTCTTGTTTTAGGTTTCTACTTAAAACAAGTTTCGACTGTAAAGTTTCTACCTGAACTTTCTACCTCAATATTTTATTTTCATTATATTTTACTTTATCTATCTATCTATCTATCTATCTATCTATCTATCTATCTATCTAT